TATGTACTGTATCGTACAAGTTTATGTGATTCTATATGTGTTTGTAATATTAGCTTTATTAAGCATTCTGTTTAGTTGGTTAACTTTACTGTATCTTAATGTAGTTTATTTTATTTTTATACGACCATAAAACAACTCACTGTAGTTTGTTTTAATGTTGAATAAAAATTAAAATCACTCACTGTATAGTGGTGACGTATTGCGCGAAGTTGTTGCAAGGACAATACTTTTCTCGATTTGCGTGCCGTCGTGCGCCGTTAAAAAACGAGGCGTGTTTATTGACCATAATAGTAGTTTATAAATAAATAAGCGCTGCTCGGACTGATAAATATGATATATAGAAGATGATATTTGGTAATCGTAGTTCTAAATAACTATTAAAAATAGCTAGACGTTTCGAGCAATGGCTCTTTATCGATAGCATAGATTAGCGATAGCATAGGTCAAGTTGCTAATCAACCAATCAAAATGCTGGATGGTACCCACGTGCTCAAATTACCATAAAGCATTTAAATATGACAGTTCAGTGACCTCATGGTGAAAGCAACACGGAAGACCAGATTTACCGATGTTTCAGTGCGATCTTTTGGCTTGTTTTTCATGGGGAAAAAGGCATGATTTTTTTTAATCGGGCCGATTTAGAACAATAAATAAACGTACCGTCCCAAATAAGAATGTACCGGGTGGAATTTTTCTGGGAAAAAAATAAACGTACGTTGTGGGCAAGCTCTCCCGAGTAGCGACATATTTTTAACTTCGCCTATGGCGTGATCAGTGGATTACGTAAATAAACCAACACTTTCAATGAGTACATGCCGACCCAACTAAACTTGTTTATGAACAGCGAGGACGCATCTCATAGAACAATAGCTGTGGAAATCATAAACAAATGTAAATGTTGCGGAAATCAAGCATGGCGATAATGATTTTGAGCCAGACAGAGTCTGGCAAGCGTCTCAGAGCAGCATTGCGCCGACACCATCACGACGTTTGAATCCCGGTGAGAGCGCTGCAAACCTCTTAAATCACAATGTAAACTTTCAATTTACACAATACATAATCAGATTCTACAACAATAATAGAAAGGCAGTTTTTCTGGCGAAGCTCTCGCCAGGTTAGCAAACCTGAGACACAAACGATAATACAAAGTGTATAAATACCATAACAAGCACAGTTTCTTACCTTTGAAATTGACAAGACACAATTTTGTCCATATAAGCGTTGCGCAAATAAAGACCTAATTCCGGGATACAATATCCTCACACAAAACCGAATGTGATTTCCACCGAGACGAGAACTGCGTTTGCGTCATCAAAACTCAGATTAAATTTCGGGAAAAGTCGGATTTTGAAGGAAAACTGTTAAAAATCAAAGAAAAACACAGTGAAACTTTAAAGAATCGAAAAAATAACTTGATGTGCATAATAGCACCATCAATTCCTGTCTCTGTACCAACTCTGAACTGAATTGGATCACACATGTGTGAGAAAAAGCTGGTAACATGAAAATGTGCACACACGGATGCACAGACACGACCCAAATTAACACCCCCCGCCCGGATCAAAGATCCGGCGGGGGGTAAATATGCACCGATTTTAACCCAAAACTAATCAGGTCTGTGCATTGTCCTAGAACATCTGTTCATTTATTGAAATGGGATAATTAGTACTAGCAAGGCCAAAAATTAACTAATTATGCAAATTGGTTGATTAATGCATACATTTTTACTTAAAATTAATCAGGTCTTTGGAATGTTCTAGAGCATCTATGTACCAAGTTTCATTCAAAAGTAATGAAGTAATACAACTTGAAATATCAAAAGCTGAAAATTGATTAATTATGCAAATTAGGTAATTAATATTTCACATATGTCTGTTTATCGTTCTATGTATCTATGTAAGTTTCATTGAAATGTGATGATTAGTATCTGAGATATCAGAGGAAAAGCTGAAAACTGACTATTATGCAAATTAGTTTTATTATATGCATGGATTTTTACCCAAAACTAATCACATCTGTGCATTAGTCCAGAGCATCCATATATCAAGTTTCATAAAAATCTAATGAATAACTCTTTAGATATCAGTGGAACAGTATGAAACTACAAAAAAATAGCTAATTATCATGCAAATCAGTAATTAATATGCATGGATTTCAACCAAAACCTAATCAAATCTGGGCTAATGCGCATCTATTCACAAAGGTTCATTAAAAACCAACATACGGTTCTTGAGATATCACACACACACACACAGATAATAAATGCCAGAAAATTGCTACCATGAAATCAATTTTATTTTGCAATATTTCTGTTGACATGTGAAACAAGACACACATAAATCTTGTGCCTAACACTATGAGCAGTATAGTACAAGGCATGCATACAAAACACAGAAAGAGATGTATAACAGAATCCAGAGCATAGAAAGGAAGTAACATAATGATGAAAGAATTGACCCTAAATTTGATGATAGTCCTGGTCAATTATTTCCCATATTTGAAAGAAATATCATGATGGGTTGTGTGTGTGTGGTACTAAAACTTCCTTTATTGTCTCAGAATGTTGTCAATGCTTAAAAAAAGAAGATGGGATACAGGTGTAACCAGTTCTGTGTGGGATACAGGTGTAACCAGTTCTGCGTGGGATATGGGTTTAACCAGTTCTGCGTGGGATACGGGTGTAACCAGTTCTGCGTGGGAGATGGCTGTAACCAGTTCTGCGTGGGAGATGGGTGTAGCCAGTCCTGCGTGGGATATGGGTGTAACCAGTCCTGCGTGGGAAATGGGTGTAACCAGTTCTGCGTGGGATATGGGTGTAAGCAGTCCTGCGTGGGAAATGGGTGTAACCAGTTCTGCGTGGGATATGGGTGTAAGCAGTCCTGCGTGGGATATGGGTGTAACCAGTTCTGCGTGGGATATGGGTGTAAGCAGTCCTGCGTGGGAAATGGGTGTAACCAGTTCTGCGTGGGATATGGGTGTAAGCAGTCCTGCGTGGGATATGGGTGTAACCAGTCCTGCGTGGGATATGGGTGTAAGCAGTTCTGTGTCGGATATGGGTGTAACCATTTCTGTATCGATTATGGGTGTAACCAGTTCTGCGTGGGATATGGGTGTAAGCAGTCCTGCGTGGGATATGGGTGTAACCAGTTCTGCGTGGGATATGGGTGTAAGCAGTCCTGCGTGGGAAATGGGTGTAACCAGTTCTGCATGGGATATGGGTGTAAGCAGTCCTGCGTGGGATATGGGTGTAACCAGTCCTGCGTGGGATATGGGTGTAACCAGTCCTGCGTGGGATATGGGTGTAAGCAGTTCTGTGTCGGATATGGGTGTAACCATTTCTGTATCGATTATGGGTGTAACCAGTTCTGCGTGGGATATGGGTGTAACCAGTTCTGCGTGGGATATGGGTGTAACCAGTTCTGTATCGAATATGGGTGTAAGCAGTTCTGCGTGGAATATGGGTGTAACCAGTTCTGCGTGGGATATGGGTGTAACCAGTTCTGCATGGGATATGGGTGTAACCAGTTCTGCGTGGGATATGGGTGTAACCAGTTCTGCGTGGGATATGGGTGTAACCAGTTCTGCGTGGGATATGGGTGTAACCAGTTCTGCGTGGGATATGGGTGTAACCAGTTCTGTAACCAGTTCTGCGTGGGATATGGGTGTAACCAGTTCTGCGTGGGATATGGGTGTAACCAGTTCTGTAACGGATATGGGTGTAAACAAGTTCTGTGTGGGATATGGGTGTAACCAGTTCTGCAACAAGTTCTGC